CACACACTCCGCATCTGACACGTCGTCACACACAACAACCGGCGCAAGTCCGTCCAAACTTCCTGAAGCGCCGCCTTCATGCTGACAGGGCAGCCGGACTGGTTCCCATGTGTCATTTCTTTCTTTTAAGCCAAGACATATTTCACTCAGATGTTTCCCTGTAGATTACATTTCAGTGTAGATTCATATTTCACTGTAGATTCTGTAACTGGCTCGTTACGTCATGCTAATGACACCTGATTTCCCATCATTCTCTGCACTGTAAAAAAATGCAACTGCACATTTTCCAGTTTACGAAACCTTTTGAGTCTCAAATACTAAAAAATGCTATTTTCTTGAAACTACATAAAAACCCTTGTCAGACCAACAAAATGACCGCAAATGTTGTGCCAACTACTCAAACACAGTTGTCTGAACAAAGAATTGCATATTGTTGAAATGTTAAGGCTTTGTGAGTTCCCAGCATGCATTGCAGCATGAATAAATCATGCAGTTACAGTTATAGGATTATTGTTTTGCTGTTTGCGGACTTCATTTAAACTTTTTTTGTTGTTGTTTTGTCATTATAGTTAGTTATTTGTTGTACCGTGATGTAAAGAGCTCATCTTTTTAACTATGATTGCCGAGGTTTGTGTGTCTAGTTTTGAGGCCTAGAGAATGTTCAGTTACTTACATCCATTTCCTGGATATCTTAGTCTTGTAAGTTGTTTTACAAGCAAAGACAATGTTGTCTACATATTACACTAAGTTCGTCATTCATAAATAAACATAAAATCAATAATGTGGTGCCTTTTTATACATTCTTTATTTCTTCCAGGAAACAGAAAAAATAAACTACCTCAATGACAGTAATTGTTGTTTCAGTTGCTGTGACAAGAAATTTTCTATTAGCAAAGTAAGACAATCAGCATTGCATGAACAAATAAATTTTACATTGGTTAAACAAAGTATCTTTACTGAGAAGAACTAGAACACTATTGTTGACAGAACTCAAAAGTCTTACTGCATCAAGTTGCCTTATTTTTTTGTTTTCTCAAACTATTTATTTTTACAGTGTGCTTGTGTCTTGTGTCGGATGGGTAAGTTTCGGAGTGAGTTTGTCTTAGACATGCTGAGATGCGAGCAGCTATCGTCGGATCATCAGGATGGAATGAGAGGTAGAGTTGAGTGTCATCAGCATAGCAGTGATATGAAAAGCCATGTTTCTGAACGACAGAACCTAGTGATGCCATGTAGACAGAGAAGAGAAGTGGTCCAAGAACTGAGCCCTGAGGCACCCCAGTAGCTAGATGTTGCGACTTGGACACCTCACCTCTCCAAGATACCTTGAAGGACCTATCTGAGAGTACAATCAGCATTGCATGAACAAATAAATTTTACATTGGTTAAACAAAGTATCTTTACTGAGAAGAACTAGAATACTATTGTTGACAGAACTCAAAAGTCTTACTGCCCGACTCAGATCTCATGACCTCTGTGTGCAAAACTGTACAACACTGTTTTTATGCATGTTGTCATCCCACTGCTTTAATAATGACACACACTTCCAGAAGAAGCTGTGTGTCCTGCAGTCAGAAACCCAATAGCAGTGCGTTTGTGTGCCAAACCACCAAAATCACCAGGCTGTTGCTGTCCGACGAGTCACACTCAGAAAAGTGACACAAAACACTACCGTTTGCAAGAAATTCATACGAACTGAGCCCTGAGGCACCCCAGTAGCTAGATGTTTCTGAATGAGAGTTTGTTTAAAAATGACACTGAAAGGCGACTTCTCGCTGTTACACGCACACAAAAGCTCTTGTTGTGTGTGATCCAGCAAACAAAAGTCTGCGGGACGCCGCTACGCTGCTGCTGCAGAGACACTCATGAATAATGAGCAGCCCGACTCAGATCTCATGACCTCTGTGTGCAAAACTGTACAACACTGTTTTTATGCATGTTGTCATCTCACTGCTTTAATAATGACACACACTTCCAGAAGAAGCTGTGTGTCCTGCAGTCAGAAACCCAATAGCAGTGCGTTTGTGTGCCAAACCACCAAAATCACCAGGCTGTTGCTGTCCGACGAGTCACACTCAGAAAAGTGACACAAAACACTACCGTTTGCAAGAAATTCATACATTTATTCAGCAAGTATGCATTATGAAGGATTTGAGGATCCTCAAATGCAAACTGTGCGTGTTTTGCTTCAAAAGAGCAACCATACATTTGTGTTGTGTTTTACTTTCTTTCTTTTATATTCATTTATTCTTCATTCATTTATAATCATTTATCATTTAATCATTTTATTATTCCATTTAATCATATAAACCTTTATAATAATCATTAGTCATTTATATACCCATTTTATTTATTTATTTATTTATTAGTCATTTATATTATATTATATTGTTGTTTTTTATAATATTTTTCTATTGTTGTTTAGTCTTACGAAGTCTGAGCATTGAAACATACGCAACTAAGACTATTCAATAAACTCTGATCCTTTTTATCAATTTATTCAGCAAGTATGCATTATGAAGGATTTGAGGATCCTCAAATGCAAACTGTGCGTGTTTTGCTTCAAAAGAGCAACCATACATTTGTGTTGTGTTTTACTTTCTTTCTTTTATATTCATTTATTCTTCATTCATTTATAATCATTTATCATTTAATCATTTTATTATTCCATTTAATCATATATA